AAGGAAGGAAGGAAGGAAGGAAGGAAGGAAGGAAGGAAGGGGAAGGACTCTAAGCTGGGCGCTTTCCTCGCAGACGTCTCGTGACCCATCCATGGAACATCCTCAGTGCCGGCAGGCAGCGAGGTTACATTGCACTTCAACTCCCTTCCCAGCCCTGATGACGTTCCCTAGTTGGGTCACGAGACGTCTGCAAGAAAAAAAAAAAGACCACCAAGACACACCCCCACACACTTCACCCCACAGTTTCAACCTTCTTTTCTCTCCGTATCTCTCGAACTCCTCACCCACCCCACCCCATCCCCGGGACCCCCCCCAAATCCCTACCTGTCACTCAGGAAGACCAGGGAGGTGATCCCCGACGGGCCGTCCTCGCTGCTGCACTGCAGGGTCCCCTCAATTGCGTCCCAGACCTGCAAGACGGAAAAGCCTGAAGCCACCGGGAGAATTCGCACCCCAAACTGTTTTCGAGGTGTGTGTGTGTGTGTGTGTGTGCGACTCGAGACTTTCAACCCTCGCGAAATCGCCTTTCATTGCTTCACAATCGCAGGACCGACCCACAACTGTGTCAAGACACTTCCCGGGCGATTTTCGGCCCCGTTTTGACGACGTTTCTCGCCGTTCGTCGCTAAGCGAAGCGCTGCGTCGCTAAGCGAGTCAGGCGGCGATGAAGCGTGTCCGAAGGGTGCAAAAGGGGCGATCAGGTGATCCGCCCGGCCTCGGAAGTAATAATAATAATAATAATAAAAATAAAGTTGGAAGGGACCTTGGAGGTCATCTAGTCCAACCCCTGCTCAGGCGGGAAACCCTAGACCATTTCGGACAAATAGTTGGATCCCGCGAGCAAAGAGACGGTCGTTAAGCGAGGATAAGGGTCCTGGTTCACCTTTTTCCGGGCCGTCGGGACCGCCGACAGGCACTACTAGGCAACCCGTCGTAAGTCGAGGACTCTTGTACAGGAAGTCCTCGGCTCACGGCCACAATTAAGCCCGACATATCGGTCGCCCGATGAGACGTCGGGGTGAGATTTGTCCCCTTGTGTGGCCTTCCTTCCCGCCGTCGTTAAGCGAAGCACGGCAGAGGTTACGTCAGTGTAGGTACCGTTCCCCTGGCGGTCACGGAACGGACCGTCGTTAAGTCGAGGACTCGTACAGGAAGTCCTCGGGCTTACGACCACAATTCAACCCGACATATCTGGACAGCCATTTTGTCCGAAACGGTATAGGGTTTCCTGCCTGAGCACGGGGGTTGGACTAGATGACCTCCCGGGTCCCTTCCAAGTCTCCTTCTATGATTCTGTCTCCAGCTTGAGCAGGGGGTTGGGCTAGATGACCTCCCAGGTCCCTTCCAAGTCTTCTTCTATGATTCTGTCTCCACCTTGAGCACGGAAGTTGGACTAGATGACCTCCCGGGTCCCTTCCAAGTCTCCTTCTATGATTCTGTCTCCAGCTTGAGCAGGGGGTTGGACTAGATGACCTCCGAGGCCCCTTCCAACTCTCCTACGATTCTGTCTCCTGCATGACCAGGGGGTTGGACTAGATGACCCCCCAGGAGCCAGCTTGAGCAGGGGGTTGGACTAGATGACCTCTCAGGTCCCTTCCACGTCTCCTCCTACAATTCTGTCTCCAGCTTGAGCAGGGGGTTGGGCTAGATGACCTCCTGGGTCCCTTCCAAGTCTCCTATGATTGTCTCTAGCTTGAGCCGGGGGTTGGACTAGATGACCTCCGAGGTCCCTTCCAACTCTCCCATGATTCTCTCTCCTGTTTGAGCAGGGGGTTGGACTAGATGACCTCCGAGGTCCCTTCCAACTCTCCCATGATTCTCTCTCCTGTTTGAGCAGGGGGTTGGACTAGATGACCTCCCAGGTCCCTTCCACGTCTCCTTCTATGATTCTGTCTCCAGCTTGAGCACGGGGGTTGGACTAGATGACCTCCGAGGTCCCTTCCAACTCCCCTTATACATTCTGTCTCCAGCTTGAGCAGGGGGTTGGACTAGATGACCTCCCAGGTCCCTTCCATGTCTCCTCCTACAATTCTGTCTCCAGCTTGAGCAGGGGGTTGGGCTAGATGACCTCTGCGGCCCCTTCCAACTCTCCTGTGATTGTCTCTCTTGCTTGAGCCAGGGGTTGGACTAGATGACCTCACAGGTCCCTTCCAACTCCTCTTCTACGATTTTGTCTCCAACTTGAGCAGGGGGTTGGACTAGATGACCTCCCAGGTCCCTTCCACATCTCCTCCTACGATTCTGTCTCCAGCATGAGCAGGGGGTTGGGCTAGATCACCTCCCGGGTCCCTTCCAAGTCTCCTTCTATGATTGTCTCCAGCTTGAGCAGGGGGTTGGGCTAGATGACCTCCAATGTCCCAACTTTCCTTCTATGATTCTGTCTCTAGCTTGAGAAGGGAGTTGGGCTAGATGACCTCTGCGGCCCTTTCCAACTCTCCTGTGATTCTCTCTCTTGCTTGAGCAGGGGGTTGGACTAGATGACCTCCAAGGTCCCTTCCAACTTTATTATTATTATTATTAATTATTATTATTATTATTATTATTAATTATTATTATTAATTATTATTATTAATTATTATTATTATTTATTAATTATTATTAATTATTATTATTATTACTACTACTATTATTATTATTAATTACTACTACTAGTACTACTACTACTACTACTACTATTATTACTATTATTATATCGGTCGTCCGATGAGACATTCGGGTCAGGTTTGTCCCCTTGCGCGACCCCCCCCTTCCCGCCGTCGTTAAGCCAAGCGCGTCGGGGCAAGGAGCCGGTCCTCAAGAAAACCCCAACCGTCGTCGCAAAGCCGAGGACGCCCCCCCCCCCAGTTACCTCCAGCCTCCCGTTGCTCCGGCCGGCCGCGATGAAATTCCCCTGCAGCTCCAGGCTCCAGATGGAGCTTTCCGAGGCGGATCCCCACGGGAGAGGAGGAGGAGGAGGGGGGGCGGCCTTCTCCGGAGCCGGCAGGGGCTCGTCCCCGGAGCTGCTCCGCCGTCGGGTCTCGCACTCGGGGCCCGAGAAGGAAGGGCGGTCGGGGAGGGCTCCCGACGAATCCTCGCAGACCCTCCCCACCAGGCTGGTGAAATCGTAGCCCTCCGGGCGCAGGCCGAGAGTCCGGAGACGGGCTCCCGGGGCTCCGGGGGATTGGCCGCCTCGCTCGGAAAAATTGGTGTCAATCAGGGAGGAGAGATCCGGTTGGTCACTGAAGAGGAGAGGGGGCGGGGGGCTGCGGGCCCGACGGGAGGGGGGGCTGCCGTCCCAGGGGTCTTCCGGACCGCCGTCGTCGGGAGCGTAATCCCAAAGGTCCCGGGGGAGGTCGAAGAGGCCGCTGTTGTGGTCCCGGCGCAGGCTGGGAAAAAAACAAAGCGGGAAAATGAGAGGATCGGAAGGGAGCCGGGAGGTCATCCAGTCCGACCCCCGGCTCAAGCGGGAGACGGAATCGTAGGAGGAGAGTTGGAAGGGAGCTCGGAGGTCATGTAGCCCAACCCCCTGCTCAAGCGGGAGACAGAATCGTAGAAAAGAAGGGACCTCGGAGTTTATCTAGCCAATCCGCTGCTCGAGATGGAGACAGAATCGTAGAAAAGGAGTTGGAAGGGACCCGGGAGGTCATCTAGTCCAACCCCCTGGTCAAGCTGGAGGAAGGGACCTCGGAGGTCATCTAGCCCAACCCCCCGCTCAAGCTGGAGACAGAATCGTAAAAGGGGAGTTGGAAGGGGCCTGGGAGGTCATTTAGCCCAACCCCCTGCTCAAGCTGGAGACAGAATCCTAGGAGAATTAGAAGGGGCCTCGGAGGTCATCTAGTCCAACCCCCTGCTCAAGCTGGAGGAAGTGACCTCGGAGGTCATCTAGCCCAACTCCCCTGCTCAAGCTAGAGACAGAATCGTAATAGGTGAGTTGGAAGGGGCCCGGGAGGTCATCTAGCCCGACCCCCGGCTCAGGCTGGAGACAGAATCCTAGAAGGAAAGTTGGAAAGGACCTTGGAGGTCATCTAGTCCAACCCCCTGCTCAAGGAGGAGACCCTGACAGAATCACTGAAGGATAGAGTTGGAATGGACCTTGAAGGTCATCCAGCCCAACCCCCGGCTCGAACCTGGAGAACCTTACAAAATCATAGAACAACAGAGTTGGAAGGGACCTTGGAGGTCATCTAGTCCAACCCCCTGCTCAAGCTGGAGACAGAATCCTAGAAGGAGAGTTGGGACATTGGAGGTCATCTAGCCCAACCCCCTGCTGAAGCTGAACAGAATTATAGGAGAGATGGAAGGGGCCTCGGAGGTCATCTGGTCCAACCCCCGGCTCAGGCTGGAGACAGAATCATAGGAAGGGACCTTGGAGGTCATCTAGCCCAGCCCCCTGCTCAAGCAGGAGACGCTTACAGAATCATAATGTAACAGAGTTGGAAGGCGCCTTGGAGGTCATCTAGTCCAACCCCCTGCTCAAGCAGGAGACCCTGACAGAATCACTGAAGGATAGAGTTGGAATGGACCTTAAAGGTTATCCAGCCCAACTCCTGGCTCAAGCTGGATACAGCTTCACAGAATGAGATTTGGAAGGGATCTTGGAGGTCATCTAGTCCAACCCCTGACCCTGCAGAAGACCCTTACAAATTGACAGAGTAATAGAGCTGGAAAGGACCTTGGAGTTCATCTAGTCCAACCCCCTGCTCAAGCAGGAGACCAGCCAAACCCAAATCCTGCAACCGTTCTTCTTCGTATGTTTTAGTCTCCCAAGAGTTTAATCATCTTAGTTGCCATTTGGTGACCAAAACTGTATGCAGGTATTCCAGGGACGGCCTTACTAAAGCCTTACAAAGCGGTACTACTCCTTGACGTGAATTTGATTCTGTGCCTCGGTTTACGCAACCGAGGATCGTATTCGCTTTTTGGGCTGCCGCCGTAATTGGCTGGCTCACCATAGCGTCGGATCGGCTGCGGGTTTCTGTTAACCGAGAGAGACCCGTGCGGGAAGATACGCAGCGTGCGACAGATCGTTGTGACAACCCAGATGGGACTCCGAGATCAGCAGCCACCAAAGAGGGACTCACCCTTGCTTAGGAATGACCGTCAGGCAGTCTCCCGTCTGCGCATCCCACACCCGGATCTGGCCCACCAGACAGCAACTGACGAGTAGCATCCCGTCGCTCGCCAGGCATTCGATGTCCTGCAAAATAGGTCAAGAGGTCAGCAATGCCCCGTCCCCCGGAAGGAGCTGGAGCTAAGGACGGGAACTCAACCGCGCCCTGCAGCAGGGTCTCGAATGCGGGCTCTCTAAGTCAGCAAGATGTTTCATTGCACTCGGGTCAGAAGCACCGAGGCGCTTCAGGGTTGAAAGTATTCGCGGTGACAACACCGTTGCCTGCGCGAAGCTCCGTTCCCCTGGAAGGAGCTGGAGCTAAGGACGGGAACTCAACCGCGTCCCGCTGCAGAGTCTCGAACGCGGGCTCGCTAAGTCAACAAAACATTTCGTTGCACTCGGATCAGAAGCACCGAGGCGCTTCCGGCTTGAAAATATTAGACCAAAGACAACTGCAGATACATCGTCCGGTTTATCAGATTCCGATAATCCCGACGATTCGTCTTCGGTTGAAACGACCGGAGTGAAATTTAGGGTTACGGAAACATCACGGGCCCAAATGAACAGTTGTACAATTTAAGGGTCAGCTGTGTTAGCTTGGCTTTGTAATTTTATTATTTTTACTTTGTCTTCTTTTACGTTTATTCGGGTAGTTTATGGGTACTTTATTAGTTTAATCCATTTTTTATCTTCCTTCTATTCGTTTCTAATTTTGCTTTTCATTTAACTTTATTTTATTTATGCTTCTTATTTGTTAACGTTGCTCTGCCACCATAAATCGTTGCTATTACGACGACGACTACGGGTGCCTCCCGATTGCTCACGCCTCTCTCCCAAAGTTCGTCTCCCGTGGTTCTTTCCACTCTCCCTCCGTCCGTCCCCTCCCCAGTCCCGTCTCCAATCTTCAAACTCGATAGACTCGCCAAAGGACGTTCAGGAGATGTCCCAAAGGTGCTTTTTCAAGAGGCAACTCTTATTTTTGCTTGAATGGGTTTCCCTTCTCAATCCGAGAAGCTTCTTCTGGTTCAGACTGAAGAGCTGAACCGTTCGTCAGAACCGGAAGAAGCTTCTCGAACGAGGAGCGAAACCTCTTCAAGAAAAACACACACACAAGAAAGTCCAGTTGACTCTTGGAAAAAGCACCTGTTGGGACAACTGAGAAGCTTTGTAGACCTTCTTGAGAGGCCACGGGGACTTCCCGAGCGAGGGGGCCCGAGACCTTGGGGACCAGAAGACGCCTCTCCGGCTTAGTGGCCATCGGGCCGCTCCGCTCGCCCCAACATGACCCCTACCATGAGGTGGCCCCGGAGGACCAGGGGGATGATCTCCGTCTCAGGTGGCGAGTATCCGTAGTCGTCGCAGGGGAGGTCCCCTCGCCGCCGCCGACTGTGGGAAAGTCCGTTTTGGCCGTAATTCTTGGGGCACAAGACTTTGTAGAGGCAAAAGAGGAGGAGGACCAGAAGAATGCCGGACGCCAGGCCGAGGGCGGCCACCCTGGAAGAGACGAGGAGAAGACATGAAGAGTAGAGTAGAGTAGAGTAGAGCAGAACAGAACAATAGAAAGAACACAACAGAACAGAATAATGGAAGGCTAGTCTAAGTCCTCGGAGGACTGGAGGCCACTTCCGGTACTCCATTCTAGGCCTCAGAGTCCTGGAGACCACCTCCCAGGCCTATAACGGCCCGCCGGAAGTGCGTGGATGCCACTTCCGGTACTCCATTCTAGGCCTCGGAGTCCTGGAGGAGGCCTCCCAGGCCTAGAACGGCCTGCTAGAAGTGCGTGGATGCCACTTCCGGTACTCCGTTCTAGGCCTCGGAGGCCTGGAGGAGGCTCCCAGGCCTAGAACGGCCCACCGGAAGTGTGTGGATGCCACTTCCGGAAGTCCATTCTAGGCCTCGGAGTCCTGGAGGCCTCCCAGGCCTAGAACGGCCCGCCGGAAGTGCGTGGATGCCACCTCCGGAACTCCACTCCAGGCCTCAGAGCCTGGAGACCTCCCAGGCCTAGAACGGCCCGTCGGAAGTGCGTGGATGCCACTTCCGGTACTCCATTCTAGGCCTCGGAGTCCTGGAGGAGGCCTCCCAGGCCTAGAACGGCCCGCCGGAAGTGCGTGGATGCCACTTCCGGAAGTCCATTCTAGGCCTCAGAGGCCTGCCCCCAACAATTTAGGTCCTCATCTTACGGACCTCGGAAGGAGGGAAGGCGGAGTCAACCATGAGCCGGTCAGGATCAAATGGCCGAGCTGCTGGCAACCGGCTGTCAGCAGAAGTAGCCCGCAGCGATGCATTCTAACCACAAGGTGTCCTCCTTGACCTGACTGGGAAACTGACCGGGACGCTGACAGTTGCAGCGCATATCACACTCACTTATACAGGGTGACGTCCCGGGGTGTGTGTCCTTTGGGCTTCTCTTCGGCCAGCCGTTCGGCTTGCTCCGCTCTTACGACGTCCGAGGAGGAGGAGGAGGAGGAGGGGTACCGGCTGGCTTCGTGGGGGTGACGCGCCTCCAAAGCCTCTTGCGGGTCCAGGTAGAGGGTGACGGGGATGACCGGAAGGATGCTGATGTACCTGGAGAAGGGGAAGAGCTGATTGGAGGAGGAGGAGACGCCCTTCCCCAAGGGAATTCTGGGAGCCACGGAAAGGAGATGGACGGGGGAAGGACGGATGGAAGGAAGGAAATGGGGAGGGAGAAAGGAAATAAGGAGGGAGGGAGGAGGAGATGGAGGGCGGAAGGAAGGATGGTGGAAGGAAGGAAATGGGGAAGAAGGAAGGAAAGGAGGAAGAGGGAGGAAGGGAATGGAGGGTGGAAGGAAGGATGGTGGAAGGAAATGGGGAGGGAGAAAGGAAATAAGGAGGGAGGGAGGAGGAAGGAGATGGGCGGCAGAAGGAAGGACGGTGGAAGGAAATGGGAAAGAAAGGAAATAAGGAAAGGAGAGGGAGAGAGGAAGGAGATGGGACGGCGAAAGGAAGGATGGTGGAAGGAAATGGGGAGGAAGAAAGGAAATAAGGAAAGGAGGGAGGGAGAGAGGAAGGAAGGAGATGGATGGTGGAAGGAAGGAGGGTGGAAGGAAGGAAATGGGGAGGAAGGAAGGAAACAGGAAGGAAAGGAGGGAGAGAAGGAGGAAGGAGATGGATGGCGGAAGGAAGGATGGTGGAAGGAAATGGGGAGGAAGAAATAAGGAAAGGAGAGAGGGAGGAAGGAGATGGATGGAGAAAGGAAGGAGGGTGGAAGGAAGGAAGTGTGGAAAGAAGGAAGGAAACAGGAAGGAAAGGAGGGAGAGAGGGAGGAAGGAGATGAAAGGAAGGATGGTGGAAAGAAATGGGGAGGGTGAAAGGAAAGGAAATAAGAAGGAGAGGGGGAGAGGGAGGAAGGAAGGAGACTAATGGGGAAGGATGGAAGGAAGGAAATGGGGAGGGAGGGAGGGAAGAGGAGAGAGGAGGAAAGAGATGGATGGGGAAGGATGGATGGAAGGAAATGGGGAGGAAGAAAGGGAAGAGGAAGGAAAGGCAGCAGATAGGAAAGAGATGAATGGGAAAGGATGGATGGGAGGAAGAAAGGAAATAGGAAGCAAAGGAGGGAGGGAAAGAGGGAGGAAGGAAGGAGAGGGATGGCGGAATGATGGAAGAAAACCACCCAGCTCAGAGAGCACCAAGGAGCCCACGGTCCTCCTCCTCCTCCTCCTCCTCCTCCTCTCCTCCCCCCCTTCCTCTTCCTCTTCTCAACAAACCTCGCCTCCCTCCTAGCACTGATGATGTTCCCTAGTTGGGTCACGAGACATCTGCAAGAAAGCCACCCAGCTCAGAGAGCACCAGGGACCCCACAGTCCTTCCTCCTGCTTCTGCCTTCTCGCCCTGATGACGTTCCCTAGTTGGGTCGTGAAACGTCGGCAGGCAAACTGCCAAGCTCGGAGAACACCAGGAACCCACCGTTTGGCGAGGGTGATGTTGTAGTAGCCGAACAGCGAGGGCCAGTGTCGAAAGGACAGCTTCCTCCAGAGCTCCTCGTCCTCGGCCCCCCAGGTCACTTCCGCCGTGGAGCCCACCTCCGGGTGACCCCGGCTCCTGGCGTTCGGCGGCTCCTCGGCGCGGTGCCCCGCCGCCCGCCGCCGCGCCGACTCCGACGTCTGGTTCTCCGACAGCGGCGGCGGCGGAGGCTGCCCACGGTCCGCCGAAAAGACCGAGAGGGATAACTTGGCGTCCCCGGTTGGAAGGACCTCACCAGGGACCGGCAGCACGGGAAGCCCGGCTTCGCCCAGGGGGCTCTGCTCCGTCACCTGGGAAGCCAGGTAGAGGCGGAAGCCCGCTGGGTCGGTGTAAACCAGGATGCCGATCCAGACCACCGTCCCAGTCTGTGGGGAAGACAAGGTTATAGCAGTCTCTTAAGGGCTTCAACTCCCAGAATCCCCCAGCCGGCATGCTTTAAGAGGGGAGGACCTCAACTCCCAGAATCCCCCAGCCGGCATGCTTTAAGAGGGGAGGACCTCAACTCCCAGAATCCCCCAACCAGCATGCTCTAAGGGGGGAGGACTTCAACTCCCAGAATCCCCCACCCGGCATGCTTTAAGAGGGGAGGACTTCAACTCCCAGAATCCCCCACCCGGCATGCTCTAAGGGGGAAGGACTTCAACTCCCAGAATCCCCCAGCCGGCATGCTTTAATGGGTGGATTTCAACTCAGAGGCCTAGTGGAGGCTCCCCAGGCCTAAAACGGCCTGCCGGAAGTACATGGATGTCACTTCCGGAAGTCCATTCTAGGCCTCAGAGGCTTGGAGAAGGACTCCCAGGCCTAGAACGGCCCGCTGGAAGTGCGTGGATGCCACTTCCCGAAGTCCGTTCTAGGCCTTGGACGCCTGGTGGAGGCTCGCAGGCCTAAAACCGCCTACCGGAAGTGCGTGGATGCCACTTCCGGAGGTCCGTTCTAGGCCTTGGAGGCCTGGAGAAGGACTCCCAGGCCTAGAACAGCCCGCCGGAAGTGCATGGTTGCCACTTCACGAAGTCCGTTCTAGGCCTCGGACACCTGGTGGAGGCTCCCCAGGCCAAGAAAGGCCCGCCGGAAGTGCGTGGATGCCACTTCCGGAAGTCTGTTCTAGGTCTCGGAGGCCAAGTGGAAGCTCCCAGGCCTAGAACGGCCCTCCAGAAGTGTGGATGCCACTTCCAGAAGTCCGTTCTAGGCCTCGGAGGCCTGAAGCAGGCCTCCCAGGCCTATAATGGCCTGCCGGAAGTACATGGATGCCACTTCTGGAAGTCCATTCTAGGCTTCGGAGGCCTGGTGGAGGCTCGCAGGCCTAGAACGGCCTGTTGGAAGTGCGTGGATGCCATTTCCGGAAGTCCGTTCTAGGCCTGGCAGGCCTGAAGCAGGCCTCCCAGGCCTATAATGGCCTGCCGGAAGTACATGGATGCCACTTCTGGAAGTCCATTCTAGGCTTCGGAGGCCTGGTGGAGGCTCGCAGGCCTAGAACGGCCTGTTGGAAGTGCGTGGATGCCATTTCCGGAAGTCCGTTCTAGGCCTGGCAGGCCTGGAGAAAGACTCCCAGACCTAGAATGGCCCGCCGGAAGTGCATGGATGCCACTTCCGGAAGTCCGTTCTAGGCCTGGGAGGCCTGGAGAAGGACTCCCAGGCCTAGAACGGGCCTGCCGGAAGTGCGTGGATGCCACTTCCAGAAGTCCGTTCTAGGCCTGGGAGGCCTGGAGAAGGACTCCCAGGCCTAGAACGGGCCTGCCGGAAGTGCATGGATGCCACTTCCGGAAGTCTGCCTCCAATAAGAGAACCAGTTGTTCAGGTGTTTGAATCCCACCCCTGGGGGGGAACGGGCATCAGCCTGGGAAAACGGATGCGGGAGGGCCAGCCGAGGAGGAAAGCTGGCCGTAAATAGGCGGAGGCGGAAGGCGGAATTGGTCCGTTCCGGTCCAATTCCCATTGTCGGGATAGACTCCAAAGTTGCAAAGCTGGCCGACCGGCCCCTCATGCAGAGGGCATTATGGCAGGGGTTCGAAACCTGCGGGCCACAATCCCCTCCCGGTCCGGTGGCCTAATTAGCAACCGGGCCACGTTTAGGGCACCACCCCGCGAGCAACGGGTGCTCGTCGGCCCGAGCGTGCGTTGGTTTCTCCCAAAAAAAACCCATCCCCTCTTCCCTCCCTCCCTTTCCAGGGATGCGGAACTCTGCTCCATGGGATCCCTGGATCCCCCTCCCCTCTGCCCGCCGGAGACCCTTACCATGATGATCCGCTGGGCCAGCCGAGTCCGGGCGAAGAAATAGACCACCCTCAGCCGTTTGGGAAGACGGAGGTTACGCAGAGACGAGGTCTGGAGGTTGATGGTGTGCATGGTCGCCGGGCGCATAGCCGGCTGGCGCTCGTAGCGCGGGCCGCGGGCGCCGAGCTTGGGGGGCGGGAGGCAGGCTTCGGCGGGGGGCCGCTTGTTGAGATCGGCCAGCTGAGGAAGGAACGAAACAAAAACCGGCAAGGTCAGCAATCCAGAAGAACAGAGTCGGGAGGGACCTTGGAGGTCATCTAGTCCGGCCCCCTGCTCAAGCAGGAGCCCCTTACAAAAAAATCGTAGAATAAAAGAGTGGGAAGGGACCTTGGAGGTCATCTAGTCCAACCCCCTGCTCAAGCAGGAGCCCCTTACAGAACCGTAGAATAAAAGAGTGGAAAGGGATCTTGGAGGTCATCTAGTCCAGCCCCCTGCTCAAGCAGGAGCCCCTTACAAAAAAATCGTAGAATGAAAGAGTGGGAAGGGACCTTGGAGGTCATCTAGTCCAACCCCCTGCTCAAGCAGGAGACTCTTTTAGAATCATAGAATAAGATTATAGAATATAGAATAAGAGAGTCGGAAGGGACCTGGGAGGTCATCTAGTCCAACCCCCTGCACGAGCCAGAGACCCATACAGAATCGTACAATGACAGAGTTGAAAGGTACCTGGGAGGTCATCTAGTCCAGCCCCCTGCTCAAGCAGGAGCCCCTTACAAAAATCATAGAATAAGAGAGTCGGAAGAGACCTTGGAGGTCATCTAGTCCAGCCCCCTGCTCAAGCAGGAGACCCTTCCAGAATCATGGAATAACAGAGTTGAAAGGGATCTCAGAGGTCATCTAGTCCAACCCCTTGCTCAAGCAGGAGACCCTTCCAGAATCATGGAATAACAGAGATGGAAGGGGTCTGGGAGGTCATCTAGTCCAACCCCCGGCTCAAGCAGGAGACCCTGACAGAATCACAGAATAACAGAGTTGGAAGGGAAATGGGAGGTCATCTAGTCCAGTCCCCTGCTCAGGCAGGAGATGTTTACAGAATCATGGATTAACAGCATTGGAAGGGGCCCTGAAGGTCATCTAGTCCAGACCCCTGCTCAAGCAAGGGCGAGAGGCAGGCTTCGGCGGAGGGAGGGGTGTTTCTTCAGATTGACCAGCTAACAAGGGAACAAAACAACCAGCAGGTCAGGAATCCAGAAGAACAGAGTCGGAAGGGACCTGGGAGGTCATCTAGCCCAGCCCACTGCTCAAACAGGAGACCCTTACGGAATCATAGAATAAGAGTTGCAAGGTAACCTGGAGGTCATCTAGTCCAGCCCCTTGCTCAGGTAGGAAACCCTACACCATTTCAGACAACTGGCTGTCCAGTCTCCTCCTCCTCCTCCTCCTC